ATTTAGATACTTAAAAATAAACCGTTTTATTCAGCATTGAAGTTTTTCTGGAAACCTCTGGGACCTGGGCAGCTGCGGGTTTGATAAATACTTCTGATCGCAAGCTCTTTTTGGCGGCGCTCAGACACTTCCTTCCATTTGTTTCATGAGACTTGCTAACATCTAAATCGCTGGCGGAATTCGGAGTGTTTGACAAACCGTGTGGCTAAGACGAACGTCCTCACACGTACCAAACCAATAAACCCGGAGAGGAAACACAGGTTGCAGTAAAAATAAAGTCCTGACGTTAGCCCAGGTTTCACATAACCCGGCCTTCACAAGGCTCTCCCTCCGTTGGAGGAGCTGTGCCCCTGCAAACAGCCCACAAGGGACACATCATTTAAATAAATGTGTTTCTTTGCCCGAACAGAAGTTCAGATAGGCTCGATTATCATTAATTCTGCTCTTTTATTTCCTTTGCGGGCGCGAACACCGAAATCCTGGCCTTTGAAGTGCGGCTGGCGGAGCTGACCCGGGTCCTCCCGGGCGCCGGCTCAGCGGTGCGGGAAGGAGGCGACTGAGAGTGAACTTGTGGAAGCTAGGAGGGGGTGGTGGTGTGGGGGAGTGAGGTGCAGATGTTGGAGAAATCAGGGACAAACTGAGTCTGTGCAAAAGTCTACAGCACATCTGACGGACACCAACCTCCTCTCTGGTTTTTCAAAAACAAAAACAAACAAACAAACAAACAAACAACAACAACAACAAAAAACCACTGAAACTCAAGCTGACCAGCGTGTCCCCTCCCGAGCTGGCGTTCGTGGACATTTTGCGGGTTTTCCCTGGCTATATAACAGCTATGTGGGGGGTGGGGACGGGCTCCCTGGGGGTCACCGTCAAGTCTCGGGGTAGCGCCGAAGGTGGGGGAAAGCTGGGAAACACGCGCGCGTGAACCTGCGGGCGTCGGGGACCGCACCGCCGTGCGTCCGCTGTGATTAGCTCGCGCGGCGACCCCGGAGGGCGGACTCTTCTCACCCGCGTGTCTCCTCCTCCCTCGGCCTTTTTAAGGGACGTCCAGCAGGCAGAGCTGTCAGCCACCCCAGGTCCTCTGCACTTGGCCGCTGCTAGGTTGTCCCCGCCCGCTTGACTGTCGGGGGCCAGAGCTGAGTTAACAGCCGGGCCCCGGGATCTGCACGTGAGGAGCAAAGCTGCGCTCTCGACTCTGCTGGATAGCCGGCGTCAGCCCACAACCGGGACGCTGTCCGGCCGTGCAGTTGGTGGTCCGGGGCCGAACGGCCCTCGAGGAAAGAGGGGAAAGAGGGGGCCCGGGACCGGGTGCTCCTAGAACGATGAGCCCGGCCAAAGGTGGCTGCTGTTTCAGCCGCAGCCTCCGCGGTGGCTTCCCGCGCGCCCTGGTCCTCTCGCCCCCGCGCACCATGCTGTCCCCCTGCCAGCGGAGCCCGCGGCGCAGCCCGAGCCTCCTGCCTAGCCGCTGCTAACCCACGAGAGCGTGTTCTCGACCGCGGGGTCAGCTGGACGCACAGGGTCGGGGGAGGCGGAACCGTGGTCCCCGGAGCCCCGGCTCCGCCCTCCGACTCTCCAACTGCCACCGGGCGCTGGGCGGCTATGGGGGCGCTGCTGGCGTTCTGTTTCCTCGTAGGCTTGCTGCGCTGGGGCCCGGCGGGCGCGCAGCAACCTGGGGAGTACTGCCACGGCTGGGTGGACGCGCAGGGCAACTATCACGAGGGTTTCCAGTGCCCCGAGGACTTCGACACGCAGGACGCCACCATCTGCTGCGGCTCGTGCGCACTGCGCTACTGCTGCGCAGCAGCCGACGCCAGGTTGGAGCAGGGCGGCTGCACCAACGACCGCGGAGAGCTGGAGCATCCCGGCATTACCGCGCGTAAGTGCGGCGCCCCTGGGCGGGCCCGGCTGTGTCCACCAGACGCAGGCACGCTTTACTACCTCGGGGCGCAAAGTGAACTCCTCTGAGTCTGGGGATGGAGGGGAGGGTGGGTGACCGCATTTTAGATCTGGGGATCCCATTGCTTTGCAATCTGGATCCCAGCTGCACGTGGTCTCTTCGGTTCGGCCCTAAGGAAAGTTTGCAAGGGATTGCGGGGGAATGTGGGGCTGTTGTGTACTTGGTGCTCCTAGGGAAGGCAGCTTGAGCTAGGCTGGGTTTTCATGGGCGCTCTGGTCACTTTGGGAGCTCTGGAAGTGCCAATGTCAGAAAACGCAGTTATGGTCAAGAGCCCAGATCCATTCCGCTGGCTGGCTTCCTTCCTTCTTTGCTTCCTTCCTCCTTCCTTCATATCTCTCTCTCTCTCTCTCTCTCTCTCTCTCTCTCTCTCTCTCTCTCTCTCTCTCTCTCTCCTCTCTCCTCCCTCTCCTCTCCTCTGTCTCCTTCTCCCTCTCTCCTTCTCCTTTTTGTTTTTCTTCTTCTTTCTTTCTTTCTTTTTTTTTTTTTTTTTTTTTTTTTTTTTTTGTTGGTAAAGTTGTAGCATTTCCTCACTCTCCCAAACTTCCTTTACTTCTCTACATTGTATTACCCTCTCTGGCCCAACCCCCATTGTCACACTTTTCAGAAACACCCAAGTCTTCAAGGTGGAGATTTAAAATTAAGGGTCACAGGGCTTCCTCAAGGCCTCCTATTCTCACATCGGAAAACGCTGCTCAAATTTCTGCTCACTTGCTCACTTAAGAGGTGAATAAATCACGACCCCAGCAGAGGAAATTTACACCTTGAAAAAAGTTTTCCACTTGAATAGGAACATTAGGGAAACCTTTTACAGCTCAAGGCGATGGTTTTATTGCCAGGAAACCCGAGAAGTGTGCAGAACTGAGAAAGGGCGACTCCCCTGGACTGTGAGGCTGCAGCCTGGAACCTGCACACTAAGATCCCTTAGCAGTCAGGGGGAGAAGGGCAGGAGAGACCATCTAGTCTCATCCTTCAATTGACAACCCAGAGGAAAGGGGGCCAGGAATATCCCTGGGTTCTCTTCTGGGATTAAATTTGGTGGTTGGGGTTGGGTGTCAACATTTCCAGTCCTGGGGATATGGAAAATAGTGGAAAGGAGGGAACCCTGGCCTATCCTGGCCTGTTGGAACTACACTTCTCTGCTAGTTCCCTGTCCTGTACTAACCACCCTGCTCCTCTAGGCAGGGTAAGCCAGCCTCCTCCAGGAGCGGTTGGGGAGGGGATCAAAAAAAGAGCAGAAGACAGGAGTACTCTCATCATTTAGTGAGTTTGAGATCAGGCCAAACCAGATGGATAGTGGCTTAGTCTTCTGCCAGCAATTTAACCTCTGGTGACTTAAGTACACTGGGCCACTTCTCAAATTTAAAATGGGCATATTGCCTTCAAAGAATCAGTTTATTGATGAAACCAGCATACAGCTGCTTAGTGAAGTACACTTTTGCCTGGCCTTATACACTTCTGGTACTCACGTAGGGGGGACATAAGGAATGCTGAAGGACTAACTTAGCAGCCCATAGACTGTTGCCTGTTGCTCACTGACCTAGTCTCTGCAAAAGTAAAAAGCTTTCTGATATCTAGAAAGGAGGGTGTTTCTATTTCTCATGGTGTCAGTGGTAAAACCTATCAGATACAGAAAAAAGGCACAAGTGCCTTGGTCAGCTCAGATGTTTTGTCTGCTGCCCAGAAGCTGGAGGCAGCTGCTTCTCATGATTCTTTGACATAGAGAAGCAACTATGACAGATGCCCCAGTGATGCCTGGGGGTGGTGGTGTCTTAATTCTACCTTCATTTTAGAGATGGAAGTAAACTAGGGTTTGTTGTTTGAGGGATGCCAATACCCTGAACTGCATATTATTCTATCTGTGGGTGGGAACATAGAGACAAGACATATGACATCTTAAGTCAGGACTGGTGATTTGTGAGGTGGTGGGAGATGCAGTAAATCGGGGCTTTCTGCAGATTGTTTTATTGTTCTAGAGTCCGGTAACACCTCAGGCTACATTCAACAAGTCTGGTTCTTTTATTAGACTGGAAACATTTGGGCAGGAGATGGGCTGTCAGTCTAGAAGTTGGGTTAGGCTCTTAAGTGTGACAGAACTCCTAAAACCTAGGAGTTAAATGCACATCCAGGGTAACCCTCAAACTCACCTTCTCCCTTCAGTGTACGAATAGGATGGCTGACTGTTCATTTCTGACTTCCAGATTCAATATGATGGCTAATTGCTACCAGAGCCTACAGCCTCAGTTTGCTTCCTCCCTGCTAGGGGCAGCAAGACCATTCCATCATCATAGTTTGTGATTTGGAGGTTGCCATATGCTCTGAAAAACTGAGCAGTAGCGATAATGAGCCTTCTTCCTCCCACACAGAAGACACTAAAGCAGAGACTAGGGAAAGCGTGACCTTTACCCATCATCTCTGTGTGTCTGTTTTTGCCTTTTAGAGCCTGTCTACGTCCCCTTCCTGATCGTCGGCTCCATCTTCATTGCCTTCATCATCTTGGGCTCTTTAGTGGCTATCTATTGTTGTACCTGTTTGAGACCCAAGGAGCCCTCCCAGCAACCAATCCGCTTCTCACTCCGCAGCTATCAGACAGAGACCTTGCCCATGATCCTCACCTCCACCAGCCTCAGAACACCATCCAGGCAGTCCAGCACAGCCACCAGCTCCAGCTCCACAGGAGGCTCTGTCCGAAGATTCTCCTTTGCCAGGGCCGAGCCAGGCTGCCTGGTACCCTCATCACCCCCACCTTACACCACTGGCCATGCCATACACCTAACACAACCATCTGGTTTCCTGGTGTCACCCCAATACTTTGCCTACCCTCTCCAGCAGGAGCCCCCACTGCCTGGGAAGAGCTGCCCAGATTTCAGTCCCAGTTGATGGGCTCAGACTGTGAATATGCTGGATGGTGAGATGGTAACCAGGTGGAATATTGCTATCCTGGCCAAGCCACACTCACTTTTGGAGGAAATCTGCAGTAACCCATCACGATCATGGAAGAATGATCCAGAATGATACAGCACTTTCTGGTCTTGAGGTTCCTGGCTACAGAGGCCTTGACTTCGCAAACATGGTGAACAGTACATCTTATTCATCTTTTGTTAAAATATTCAACAGCTTGATGTTCACTTTGCAAGTTGAAGGAAAATATTTTACTGGACAATTCAGCTATCCTTTGTAGAAAAGTGCCCTGTGTTCCTTCTCCTGTGTTGACTGAATTATAATACAGATACACACATAAATAAGGAAGGAATACACTTAACTGTAATTATAAAGGTTCACTTAAAATTTAACTGTTAAGTAAACTCAAGGGTCCAGTGAACCACATATTTATAATTTTTGGAGTGACCTAACCATAAGTAATATTAGTATGATGAGAATATTTACTTCTTAAATTAATAACAAATTTTGTTTAAAATATAAGAGTTTTCTTTTTTCCAAAATACAAGGTTTCAGTAACCACATGGGAAGATGAAAGTTTTAAATATATACTTAAACATTTGTTGTAGCACAGACTCTGTGTAAAATCACTTCCTCTGCCAACCTGAGGGAATATTTATTGCAGACTTTTTGTTCAGCAATATTAGCGTTCAAAATGAAAGTTGGACAATTGAGTCTTAAAACATTTATTTGTAAAAAGAGTTATATGTAAATGTGAAGATTTGTAATTTAATTTACTTACCACATAGACAGTACTAATTATGTAGAAGTCACACTGTAACTTTTGTGGAAGTCAGAGGCCATCTGTTAGTGGAACCATTGAGAAAGCCACATATTATGTGCCACTGTGTATAATGTCTGATGAGTACACATATAGGCAAGGGCTAGAAAAAAATAAACTTCTCTGGTTCCCTGAACCCTATTTAAGATTTTCAGATCAAAATTCTTCATTGTATATGCTTATAATTTTTTTTGCTGTCTAATAAGAGGAAATATCTTTATCCCATACTTCATCTTTTGAAATTAAGGGTAAAGCAACAGAGATTAGTTCTTACAGAGATCTTAGCAGTCTGTCTGTGATACACTACACACACACACACCATATACACACTCACCCACACCACATACACACACCATATACACACCCACACCATATACACACTCACCCACACACAGACATACATATACCACACACACACACACACACACACATCACACACCACATGCACACACACCCCATATGACCTGTAGAGTTTAAACATCCAGACATTTTTTTCTTATGAATCTGAAGTCTGGCTTTTTGTGGCACATAGATGTGACACTGCCCAGCATGGGGTCAGGCCAACCCTCCTAGGCAAGATACCTGACAGTTCCCAGTTCCTTGCCTACTCTTCCACATGCCCCCCACCATTCACTGTTACCTACCCCTGATGGTGCAGTTTGAAAGTCCAGCTTCGGAGAATTTGTTATGTCACACATCACCTTCGGTAGCTCTGTCCGGTGTCAACAGAGGTAGAATTCTGCTCTACAATGGTTAATTGGCTTCCTTGGTTTCCAGTTGATGATCAGAGGAAAGCAGTGTGAAGGCATGACTCCCCTGCCAGGAAGTTAGAGCAGTGCCAACTTCCAGCCTCTTCTTTCTCCCCCATATTTGAGGTTACACAAAACAAGCACAGAAGTAGCTGAATGTAAAGAACAAGTCTTCAAGACTGTCATCAAAACCACATTGCCTGCATCCTCAGGCCGGTTGTAGTCACATCTGCCTGGTACCACTTCTCTGGCATTTTTAAGTTAACTTCTGCCAAGTGCTGAGCAGTTGTGTATTAGCTTACCCCATGTTCCAAACAACTCAGATGACTCTGAGTATTACAATCATCACTAGACTTTGAAACAGAGGTTGAGAAGTGTAATAACTCAGTCAACTTTTTACAACTTGTTAATACTGGAGATGATGTATAGAAGTTGATTGAAACACCAGGGCAGCATCGGCTTTGAAATATATATATTTTTGAGATAGGGTGTCCCTACATGTCAAGGCTGGTGTAGAACTCATAATCCTGCCACTTGTCTACATACTGATGTGGGTGTGCTCTTATATACTGATTCTTGGCCCTGATGAGTGTAGTTTATTTTCTTATTTGTAATCTCTTTAATTGTCAAAAAATAAATTCCATGGGTAATATACATATAACTAAAACAAACCCATTCAGTGCTCTAACCAGAGACAGATAGACACAGAGATACACAGAGAGAAACTATTAGAAATTGTCAAAGCTTTGACAGATTACTAAGGACTTAGATGCCAATCCTTCATAGAGTCACAGCGCAGTGACGGAGCCAATTTCACCCTCCCATTCCCACTTCCAGTGTCTGCAAGAGGGTGGAAATGCCCCCTCCCATGCCGAGCACGATTCAGTGGCTGCACTTTCTGTTTCGTGCCACTAGAGAGAACAGGACACATTCTTTAGGAACACTGATGCTGAGGGATTCTTGGAGTGCTCACATCTAGACTTCCCTGCTCTGGTGGGATTCTCCAACCAATCAACTGGCCATATAGTGTTTAAAATTAGGATGATATTGTATATGTACCTTATTATAATGTGACATTTAGTGACATTGAATCAAATCACATCCTCATGTACTTGGTGTCACAAAATGTATCTTCATACAGGTCTTTGTTTGGAAGCGTAGCTGCTGCTAATATTACTTAAGATCTTACCATAGTAAAGCTGTCCCATGGTAAATTCTAGACATAGCTCATTCAATAAATCTTCCAATGATATTCTTCACCTTTGAGCCTAGCCATGTGTGAGGGAACACCAAAGGAAATTCAATGCAGGTCTGATTCCAGAAGTCACTATACTGCATTGCTGGCCAAGACACATAACTAATGCCTGAGAGGAGACATTGCAGGTGCTTTCTCGTAAGGGGCACTGTTGGGGCTAGGGGTGGGACTCAGTGGACATAGGACTTGTACAAGCTTGAGTGCTGGAATTTGGATCCTTAGCATCCACATAAATGCTGAATGAGCATGGCAACCACCTTGTACTGCCAGCTCCCTGTGAGGGTGAAGACAGGGGATCCCTGGCAAGCTGGCTGGATAGACTGGCTAAATCGGTGATTTTTAGGTTCAATTGAGGGTCCCTGTCTCAATGAATAAGGTAGAGGTCAATCAAGGAAGACTCCTGATAGCAGATTCTGGCTTCCACATGCACATGCCCACACAAATGTGACCCTCCCATCACCACAAACACATGCAAACATGTGCAAACATCACACATGCAAATGTAAAAAGAAAACAAATTGGTATTGTCCCTTCCTTATCCCTGGGAGCTCACAGTCAAGTAGGGGTAGATAAGTCCACAAGCTAGTGCTTAGGGCTCACCATAACCGTGGTCATGACAGGAATGCAGGATGCATGGAAGGAAACCATATACTCATGCTGAGGGCCTGTTGTAGGACTTGAAAAATGTGTGGAACTTTTTAGTGATGGAGGCTAGCAGGGGTCAGTAGAATTAAGAAGCAAGAAGATCTGTGAAGGTTAAAGAAACATCTAGGGATAGATTAGGACTTTTGAACATCAATGTGGCTGGATACATACCAAGTACAAGTGGCAGTCTTGAAAGATTTTATAAGAGACTGTGAATTCATCTTATTTTCATGAAGAATCAAGTTGTTTGATATCTCTGAGGACATGCTTACCATATCCTACTACTACAGAATTTTGTGGCAAGTTGTCTGGTTGAGGCTTTTGCTTTCATGAAGAATTTGCATTCTAGCATCCTCAAATTATGATTACTGTGAAAACTAGAATTCTAGGAAAGTAGAATTTTGAAATATAGTTGCTCCTATGATTAGATTTATTAAGTAACATATATTTTTCAAGAGCTTTCTACACTATGATATTAGGTTTTCAGGTGGTCTTTCATCTGAAATAGGACTGTTGATGCTTGTCTTGTGATGGAGAAATCAATGTAGATAGGTTGAACATCATGTCCCAGGGCAAGAGACAAGGATAGGAGAGTTAAGATCTGTGTCCCAGGAAGTCAGCTTTACAATTCTATGTTCTTTATGTTGTCAGTAGCCTAGAAGGCCCAAGATTCTTAGGAAAACAACTGAACAACCCAGAAAATTCACTGAGGAAAGTGACTAATTGTATAGTGTCATACATACCCTATAACATCAGAGGTCCTACTAGACAGGTAGCTTGTGTTACATTATGTGAACATGAAATAAAGCATGAAAAGAATTGTTTGATGATAAACATTTTCCCCTTTACATGAGAGAAATAGCAGACACCAGAATGTGGTTTGGCATGGCCTTTGAGCCTTATGTCTAGTTAGTTTTCTGGTTTTTGCTTAAAAGAGACTTTGGCCCATCTGTTTCACAGCTGGTTTTCTCATTTATAAAATGGAAGTGTTAATGGTACCTCATTGCTTTGGATTTTCTGGGTAAGAATAACAGTCTCAGAAAGCTTGCATTCTGGTTGGGAGTGAGCTGGGTGGTAAGTTAATGGTATGTATAGAGAGCAGGCAAAATACCATAGAATAAAAACAAGACCAATTTCTGTGGGACAGCAGGTACCATTGACTGGAGACAGAGAACAGAGATAATGTTTTGATAACTTAAGGCCCCTTGACAAGCAGCCAGATTTCTGTCTACCTATTATTGCTCCCGCAAGTGGGGTGCTATGGTTGCTGTTAGCTTTCCAGTACTGTAACAGAATAGTTGAGATTGAACTTTAGAATATAAAAAGTTTTATTTGGGCTCACAGATTTGGAAGCTGCCATTGTTTTGGGCTCATGACAAGATAGCACATAATTGCAGGAACATGTAGGAAGCAAAGCTTCATGAGTCAAGGGGAAAAGCAGGACTGAGGAAGAGCCAGAGTCACCCAACCCCCTTGAGGACCTTCCTCCAAACATCCTCCAGTAGGCCCCATCTCCCAGGATACCACTCTGTGGACCAACGCTGTAACACATGGGTCCAAATCATGTTATAGAAAGCATATCTAACAGAGAAAGTAGTTTATTTTAGATTTTATTATCCATTCCAAAGCCAACTTATTGTACTTTTAATTGTCCAAATTGATAGATTGTTTCC